ATTATGTCCAATACTTGTTCCTCTGTGCCTGGAACCCGAACATCTATTGTCGTCCACTATCTTCCTGGAACCACTCTCCTCGCCCTTGGTTGGCGTGAGTTCTTTCAGCTTCTGCTATGTTACTGTAGCATTTCCCCTGAACTAATCACATATCCGCAAATTCGTGAAAGGAAATTCAAAGTAAGTCACAGTTTGACAAATTATTGTTCTTATTGACAAAGGCTATCTACTTGTAACTATCTGTTAATGACAAAAAACATGATTGCCGCTGTGCCTTTTCATAAACAAATTGTAGAAGAGAACTTTTTTGATATCAAAAATTTTCGTAATTTGAAGCAAAGATCGTAATTTTTCTTTTTGAATGCTTAAGTATTCCAATATGCTACCAATTAAACATGGAACAGTTTCAAAATAATGCTGCACTCCTTAAAAGGAATGACGCCAATTTTGAATCACCCTGTATATATAAGAGCCTAATAAATATATCCGGTCAATAAAAGAGCACGCATCATGCATGATCAAGAAATCGGTAACAACCATTTTGTTCTGTTTTCTGGACTATTCGCAACAAATAATCCTGCCTGTGATCTTTCAGCACTTTATCAAGAATTAGGTTTTCGCGGCTATTGCTAAAAACTAGTGAATTTTGGGGTTCTCTGGCCGTAGTGAAAAATAATGTATTGCTGACGTTTCGCAAACACGAGTGACTTACATCCCCAGATGTGTTTCACTTGAAAACTTTCTGTGTTTTAGAGGTGTTCGAGCCCCCTGTAAGGATGCAAATCAATTGTGCTTGCGAAACGTCAGAAAGAGATTTTCCACCACGACCTAAAAACTGGTCAGTTTTTACTATCAGCATTGTTCATCCGATTTGGCAGAGTTATACAGAATACAATCAAACTACCTACTACTACCACAGCTTAAATATCGTACAGCTAGGGCGTAATGTGCGCACGAAAATCGAGTTTTCCACCCATTAATATCCTACATGGTAATGCTTTACGATGCGATCTGGTACTAGAATTGCCGCTTTGCCGATTAAGACTATGCTCACCTTATAGAAAATCTCGTAACAAACAACATTTTTCGTATACATTTTTCGATTAAATGCCGTTTTTCTTTTCGCCCTCTGAAATTCACCAATTTCCAAAACAAAACAACGGTCGCCATGATAGTTCAGCACTTTGCGCCGGCGTGCCAGTCAACATTTTTCGCGTAGTTGCCAGTTCTATCATTACCACTTCCTTAACCACCTACGCGAACAGTTTCGCTGAAACATTCAGACAGAATCAATTTGAAGAGTTTTTTTTAATATAAAATAAATAGTAATTAGTAATACCCAGAAATTTCACTTATCCGATTCTCATGATAATTCCAATTAACTGATTAAGAACTCACACGCGTTTATAGAAATCCATAAAGAAACCAAAGCTGAAAATACTTTATTTTATTTTCTTTGCATGCATACACAATTAATTTGATATTTCAAACGGCTGGCTGCAATCAGCCAATGGGTCCCGGCTAAATTACGCGCACAATCATATGTATGAGCTTATCAGTTTCGTCTACTATTTCCTGTATGGACGTAATTCTGCTAAGTTTTCAACCTTGAATGAATTACTTTTTTGTTTTCATTGAAATTTTCTACTTTGGTGGCAGTTCGGCAACATGGCTGACCAGTATGCAATGTTTGACTGCGCGTACCCTGCGTGCAGGTATGTGCGCGTGCCACAGCAGATCGTACCGTAAAGCATTACCAATTTTGTTTATCATAGACAGGTTAAGGGAGTTTAGTGCTTTGGGTCGGTTAAGGGTTATATACTTATTTACCTTTTACAATTACCAGCTTCTTCTCTTTCTCCCAGTTTTGCAAAGCTGGATAAATTTTGTTTATCATAGACAGGTTAAGGGAGTTTAGTGCTTTGGGTCGGTTAAGGGTTATAACACCCTTATTACCCACATTATCCAGGATCACGTCGCTTTCCGCTGTAGACATTGATCTCAAAGTTGCTGCAGAATTTGCAGGAAATCTACCGACAAATACTCTTCGAATAAACTGTAACCAAAATAATTAGATAATTTCAAATAAAATATAAGAAATCCGTACCATTCTTTGACTGTCTATTGATGTAAAACCATCAATAGATATGAAATAATTTCAATTGTTGTTATCAGGTCATCAAGGGGAAATATGTAATATATATACAATAGTATGTAGTCTGTGGGGAAAGGTTAGAAACATTATCATTTTAATACACTTGTGCTTACCCACAGATCACAGAGGTTAGTATTTCTGTGCGTCTACCTCTCTGGGGAGGATGTTCTGGAACACACTCGCGTCTAGTGGTAGCCTCGACATTTAATGGGCGTGAATATTGACAGCTCTAGCCCCGGTGAATGGCGCGCAGTTTCAAAATTTACATTAAGCGCTACTTGAGGAAGTAGTATATTTAAATAAATTTCAGAATTTGTTTGAATTGTTCTTATATATTACATATATGACGAGGATAACATAAAGGTTTGTTACAATTTATTTGCAGCCTGTAGTACTGCACCTACCGCAGTATTTTGTATTTGCGTTTCGTTTACCCACTGCAAACCAATCTCCCCAGATTGTTGCAGACTATCGTCCGATGATGTTGATTAAATTGAATTCGAAATAAATGTAGCGAATTACAGTTTTAAAAAAGGTCCTAATTTTCACAAAACGCCAAATATATCAGAAACGATTAGATATAGGCAAGAAAAACTTGAAAACATTTAATTTCATCGTAAACACGTATAGCAAAAAAACACGAAGGATATGGAATTAGAAAAAGGCAACTTTGAGTTGAATTAGAAAACTCTGAACATTAAAATATAATTTTCAGGTACACATTCACTCATACATAGTGGTAATCACTAAAAATCAATTACATAGTTTAGCTGCAATCTTCATTGTCGCATGACCTGAATATTCTTGTTTATAAGTTTTAATGCACTTTGCCTTAAAATGGGAAATACTAAAAGCCACATAAAATCTGCTTATTTATTAAGAAAATGTTTCATACACATTTTATTACCCTCTACAAAATATAACTAGCAATTATTTCTAATCCGAATCACTAGCGCTGGATTCAAAATCTCCAACGTCAATCGAAAACTTATATTCTTGATCGCATCCCAAATATGCGTCGCTCATAAAATATAAAGTGTAGCTGTGGTGCCCAGGACTAGGCGCAACAAAATCCAATTTCACTCGAGCTTTCTGTTGTAACGTAAGCCTCTTTATTGATAATAAAGAATTTGTCCGAGAGTCACCTATCACCACCCACCAACCTTCTTCTCGTTTCTGTAATTATATTCATAAATTAGAATAATAAAAAATGTATTTTTAGTAAATTAGCACATTAGTTATAAGTGTTACCTGTGGAAAGAATGGAGCGATCACCGGGCCATTAATGTCGTCTTCTCGCTCCAGCTGAACGGCCACATGTACAGAAGATCCAGAATGAATTTTGTCTTTATCCAATACTTCGTACGTTAGCTCAATATTTGGATATCTGTTGCAGAATCTTGCAACGTCTGCCATTTGTGCGTCGTTTAGACTTAATAGTTTTGTTCGATCCTCATCCTCTAATTCCATTATGTCGAACACAGTTTCTACGCCCTAAATACCGATAAAATATGTATATATAAATATTTATATAAAATCCCATTTTGCATGCACGTTCAAAGTAACATATAGGTGCATAACTGTGTTCTATATTGCCCTGAAGGTCTAATAGGTTCCGGCCTGATGGGCATTATTCAGCCCTGTGCTGTATCATAAATGCTATTTGTAACAGCCACACGTTATGGCAACTTAACAGTTCAGGATAACATTTTCGATAACGCAGCAACACAACCGACGTGTGCTCTATCGCCGAGTTAACGTATGCGTTTCCGACCCAGTTATCCAACAAAAGTTAAAAGGGAAAAAATGATTAGATGCATAAAGTGAGATGCCCTTATACGAATAGTCTATTAGTTAGAGAGAGAGTTAACATCAAACCATCGAAGCTTCTAAAACATATGCACCACATGTGCACGTTTTGACCATTTGGCCCACCTACTTGTCTTTGTTCATGATTTGCATTCACTTTCAATTTCGTTCGTTATTGTTCTTGACTCATCTTCTCAAACACTTTCAATGGAGCATGTACAATAGAGGCAAAAAAAACAACCCGCAAACAATTTTCAAATTTACTAGTGTTTGTGGAGGAAAATTAAGTTTTTTCAATACCATTTACCAATTGTTCTAATAAAGCTCACCTTATATGACCACCAAAAGGCATGTTTTTCTTTTAAATTAAAAACAAATTATAGGTAAATGACAAAACTACGCTCTGATTAAACGCATTGTTTTATTTATTCCCCGAGGTTAACTCCGAGGGACGCACGTTAAGTTCGATAGCGGCATGTGATTTGATGCTGTTATTTTGAAGCGCTGTTTCTTAATATAACGTTCGTCAATAGCGTGCGCCTGTTATAAAATAACGGTTTTACTGATACAACACACCAGTTGGAGCCAAATAACGTATTTGACGAATAACATGCACGTTAAAGTTAACGTGTGTGATACAGTACAGGGCTGGTTGTCTCCGTAACGTCTGTGGTGGATACAATGTTTTATGTTTCACGTAATGGTTTTTCATCAATTATTAAGAATATTATCAATATGAAAAAAACGTATACCTGTATGAAATAATTCAATGCTTTTACATGTTTGCCTAAAGTGACTTTGATGTTCTTGTCGATTAGCAGTAACTAATCGCAAAACATTTAAGAAATTCCGAAAAAAATATAAGGGAAAGCGCAGCAAAAGCTTCTGAAAATTGGTTACGTAGTCAGTTTTTCACACTTTCTTTAATTATTTAAACAATGTTTCCCAGCCGGAAATCGTGCTAAAACTATTGTCCCAATATTGTTACAACAACTTCCAATAATATTTTCCCTTCATCTATTTAGTGCCCGGAAAAAATCTAATCCGACTGGACTATTATAGGGAGTACGGAAGGATAAAAATGCTAATATTAACGAGACTGTTTTACTGGCATATTTCCAGGAACTGGTAAGTTGAAGGTATTGTTTTGATATGAATGCATGTATTTAATCCCTTTTAGTATTTTCAGTCGGGAAAATACCCCCCTACCGCACTATGGACACACATACTCGATTCTTAGATCCACGCTGACCGTTTACGAAAATATCTACATTTTTCAATTCCATCAATCAATACCGAAATTTTTATTTTGGAAATAAAGTTTAGTTTTCAGGTATTGTTTCAACTGGAAAAACTTCAACGTGAGAGAATGAAAATTAAACAAACAACAACTTCAATAAATTAATAATTAACTGAACGGGCATTATAACCGGGAGTTATAATAATGTTGGGAAAAAAATTAGCAGAAATTAAAAAAGGCCCTTTTGGTAAACTTTAGACTGAGCAACTTTGCCCCAATTTAACCAGTCTCCTATCGTATATGGTTACCAAGATCCCCATGGCTAAACTCCAAAAACGGACATCCTGTATAGGTGAAAATTAAATGTATATAATTACCTTTTCGGTGCAACGCTTGATAATTTCCGCATTGAAATGTGGCAATTGTTTCAAGTATGAGTCCTTACTCCACATAGCTTGCGTCACCATCTGAGCCAGCTCCATAGCAGCCACTGCAGGTGACAGCCAACCGTTAGAGCTGAGAACATCCACACACGCCTGAATGAGCCTTATGGCTTTGGCTAGTACAACTTCGGTATCGCCTTGGAGTTCAGCACTCAACTGCAACCTGCGACATTTAAAAATTGAGTATATTGCGGTCATTCGGCAGAAAATACTGTGTACCTGCACAAATGTCCTTGCAGAAGTAAATTGGTTTTAACATGGGGGTCGTTGAATTTGGGTTGCCCTCCCGTTGGTGAAGTGAGCTTATTCGGTAGCTTTTGAGCCAATTGTCTCAAAATATTGTCTTCGTGGTGCCTGACAGGAATATCTTCATACTCTGCAGCCGATGAAATGATCTCTAACAGCCCTCTAATTTTTGTTTTGCTATTCAGCGACAAACTGAATAATTCAATTGTAGTGTAGTTAATGTAGTAATAGGCAGCGATCATCCCCAAATTCAACGGAACACAATCCATGTCGTCTTCGATGCTGATGCACTTGGACTGTTCTAAATCCGATAAAGTATTTTCTACCAGTTCGGACAAATGGTCTGACAAATGCCTATGGGTAACTCCTTGTAAATTGTAGTAGTTCGGATTTTGGGTTAAACGTCTATATAAGAAAGTCCAAGTAAGATAATCAACAGTATCTTGCTTGTTTTCGATTGTCTTAGTGACAATTTCAGCGTTAAAGTGGTCGTGGAGCCTGTGATCTAAATGACTCTAAAAACAAAACGATCGGCTCAGTAACGAATTTTGAGGAAAAACATTTTCACAAACCTCCACCGGAAGTGGATCACTCAAAAACTTTTTGAAGAAATCCTTCTTTGAAGATTGACACATTAGGATGCATTTGGCGTCATCATCTTCAAGGGGCCTGTTTGCCCTGCCCACCATTTGCAGAACATCAGTGATTGGGTAATCTTCATACGCATGCACCTTTCCTAAAGTGAAAAAGTAAGTAAAAGGTAAAAAATAATATATTTTTCTCATACATCATTTTTTAAATATTTTATTAGAAATATTTTAAGGAAAGTTTTATTTCGGTTTATTTTTTCTTATTTTTATATTCAAAATGACTTACAGTTCATGTTCTACATCTGTTTTAGTTAAATTTAATATAGACATTAGATTGCATTTGATCAGGCACCATATAACAAGTGATGCGTGAAAAACGATATCCCGATTTCAACAAAGCAATTATAATAGGCGTGACATTTTTGTGTTGCCGCTCTGTGTGTTTATTATATTGTGTCTTAATTTATAAAATGTATTCATGTACTGCGCTCTCGGGGTGAGTATGGCTCAAGAAGAAGTTTATTGTATCCTGTAGCGAACCTACGAGCAAACTTACGAACCATAATACAACACACATCAAGAAATACAAGGTCGACTGTTTTCTCCCAACACATAAAGTGTCGAAGCGTTGTATTGACAGGGCAGGCTGTATCGGTATCACTGTGTAAACATCTGAAAATCCAGTGTTAGCCCGACCTAAATTATACCTAACGAAAAATTAATGTTTAATTCATTTAAACGAATGCGGATTATAATGAAATATGATGTAATTTTGTTAATTTTTAAGACATAACAATAATTAAGAAAGCAAATGCTCGCAAAACCGATAATGTTTCAAAAGGATTGACTAGATGATGGTAGTGCAAAAGCTGCTGTTCCAAAAAAATTATAAAAACGTGGCTTGCGGCTTTCCATTATTTGTGATACTGCATAATCGACATTTCTTACTACATATTGAGATACTTAATAATAATTGATGCAAGGCACGGACGCAATAGACTAGACGTGAGAAGCTGCTGGGGGCAGATGCCGATTCAGATTATTTTCTGGTCAAAGCTAAGATCAAAGCCAGAATATCTACAGTGAAGAAGAAGCGAACCAGTCGTCGCTGCTCAGTGCGATACAAAAAAGCTTCAGCAGACAGAGAAAGAGCACAGTATCAGGAAGAACTAGAGCGACTGATTAGAGAACACAGTAACATCACATCCAATACTGATCTGAAGGCGCATTGGAAGTTTATATATGGAACAATTACACACACAGCTACAAAACCTCACTAAAACCATATGGGAAAAAAGCATTCCTAATGACCAGAAGGAGTATCATGATACCGATACACAAAAAAGGCGATGGAACGGTCTGCAAAAGTGCAAAAATTTCAGAGGTATACTGCTAATCAATGTAGCCTATAAAGTCCTATCGAACGTAATTCTTGTAAGGGTAACCTCTTTCACCGAAAAAATATTGGGAGATTACCAGTGCGGTTTCAGAGCAAATAGGTGAACAATGGACAGCTGTTACCATGTTGTTGACCATGTTGACCATTAGGCAATTGCTAGAGAAGAGCTGGAAATTCAATCAAGACCTCCACCAGTTATTTATCGATTTCCAGCAAGCATATGACAGCGTAAAAAGGGTCCAAATATGGCATACAATGGCTAAGTTTGACATCCCACCTAAGCTGATCAGAATAACGAAAGCTTGTGTTGAGGGTTCTAGGTGCAAAGATTGGTGATTACCTCTCAAATGTGTTTCAGGTGAGCACAGGTCTTAAACAGGGAGAAGCACGTGGGTGACAACCCACGCTTTTTAATATCGCAATGGGGAAAGTAGTAAGAGAAGCCAAAATCGAAACTCAACTATTCGGGACCAGTGGATCCAACTTCCTGCTAGCATATGCCGACCATATAGACGCGGCGAGCATACGCGTCATAAGAGCAAAAGGCCAAACAAAATACATGCTTGTCTCAAGACCAGACAGAGTTCGGATAGGACAAAATGTGACCATGGACACATACAACTTTGAAAATGTAAAACAATTTAAATACTTAGGGTCCACAATCACATCCGACAACGACATGAGTGAATAAATCATCACCTAAAGTGAGTCAACAGGTGCTTATACGCCCTAAAGGATATACTAGAGTTCAAATGCGTGACTAGGAGAACGAAAATCAAAACGTACCAGACCATGATAAGACCCGTAGTAATGTACGGCTGCAAAACCTGTACTCTTACGGTGCGAAATGAGGAACCCATTCGAAGATTCGAGAGAAAAGTGCGGAGGAACATTTTTAGACCTGGATACGCGGAGCTACCAAATCAAAGCAAATGCAGAACTAAAACACAACTGATTAACCTCATAAAGGCACAAAGGTTGAGATGGGCAGGACACGTATGAAGACAGCCAGAGGATAGCATAGTTCGCTTAGGAGGCAAATTGCCCACTAAGGGCTTTAGAGCTACGAAGTAAAGTAAAGTATATTGTAATTAGGCCACAAAGCTCAAAAATAAATTTAAATCGGTTAATTAATTGTGAGTTCCAACACTTTTAACTTAAGCAAAAAATCAAGTGCTCCACTTTGAAATTGAGTATTTCCAACAAAAAGTTATATTCATTTGTATGCTACAAAAATAACAATGTCAATGTGTATTTAAAATGTTGGAATCCACTTTTTGCAATTCAAAAATGCATTCAACTGCAGTGTTTCACTGGGCGAATAATTTGTCGGTTAAAACTTCAACTTCATTGCATAAACGAATAGCATGAAAAAATGCCTTCGTATTGATAAGATGGTGCAGAGGCATCATATCGTTGGGGCTAATAAATAGGATATGATGACAACCAAATGTACTAATTGAATATTAAATGTCTTACCATTGAAAAATTGGGTGTCCATGATGATAACCAAATATGCAAATATATTTACTGCCCAGCAAAGATCTCGGGTGACCACAGCTATTTGCACTGCACCTGAATCGAACAACTGCTCGACTAAACGCAGATCTGCAGCTGTTAATCCTTCGTGCATGTAGGCAAC